AGGATAAAGAGAAAAATACCATGATCATAATATTTAGAAGAACCAGAGTTTCCAATATATATTCCAGGATGAAATAGAGAATTGAGATCTAGTATTTCATCATTTTAAGCTCAATGGCACATACTTCCTGTTTCCCCCCCCCCCCATACATGAAAATCCTAAATAGAACAATTCACTAATACTTCCAGATCAATGATGGTATCCATCTCTAATTAATAGTTTTGAGGGTCTATAGTCTCCTTGATAGGATTTACATAAGCAAGTTCTATTAACATTAATAGGTGTTGCCAGCATAAATCCTCCTGCAGTGATTCTTCAAAAGACCCCAGTGTACGATGATATACGTTCTCATGATTACCTGTCAAATGGTCCTAAGAGTCATAATAACCTGAAAGAGCAGACATGGCAACATGTATGGCAAGGGCATTTCCCTTCTGTACTGTGTAGTAATGGAAAGAGAAATGGACTTCAAAATATCACTGGGGACACTAAGATTTAAAACATTTAACTGATGTTTAAAAAATATCATTAGAAGACACAGGATGACCCACTGCAACAATGATATTCCCAAGACACTATGTTGGAAATGAACTTTACAACTCTGGGGGAGGAGGAATTAGGGAGGTGGGGGAGGGAAGGAATAATAGGAAAAAAAACAAAGGAAGGGATAACAATGCTCAACAAGAAATGTACTCATTACCTTACTCATGGAACTGTAACCTCTCTGTATAACATCTTTACAATAAAATAAAATTTTAAAAAATATTAAAGAGGAGAATTCAAACATATCAAAGTACTTGCTTTAAAAAATGTCTGAATATTCTATTAGCTCCAAGGTGTTTGAAGGATAATATGACTACTTGTTTAAAAATTCAATTAACCTTATCTTTCTAAAACTTGATTTATTAATAATCTCACAGATAAACTGCCAATTTTAAAAGAGTCCTGTTATCTTTGGAACACGTCTTGTCTGAGGAACTTTAGAAACTACTTGGAATGGACAGAAAATCTCAGTTTATTTTAATGATTTGTTTCAAGAACAAATCATAGTTCCATGAATGAATTCTGCTTTAAAAGCACATTAGTAGTCTCTTGTCAGTAAGATGTTGGGCTCCCAAACAACTCAGAAGAAAACAGTCAAGCTCTTATTACCAAAAATATGCATGATGAACATTTTACATCTCAAATAACATGTAAAAACAGTTTGTAGAGGGGCTGGGAAGGTGACTCAGTGGGAGAGGGCTTGCCTAGCAGCATGAGGCCCTGGGTTCAATTCCTCAGCACCACATAAGCAGAAAAAACCAGAAGTGATGCTGTGGCTCAAGTGGTAGAGCGCTAGACTTGAGCTAAAGAGCTGAGAGACTACACCCAGGCCCAGAGTTCAGGCCCCACGACCAACAAAAAACAAACAAATAAACAAAAAAGCAGTTTGTAGACAACCAATGTACTATGAAGTCACAGTCCTACAAGACTAGGAGGATTTCCAATAGAATCAAATCCCATCCACTTTTGGATGTCAGTGCTGACATCAAGTTTGCCAAGTCAATCAAATCCCTGTATTCTTTCACAGGCTTACATACAAACTTAACACAACTTGCAAATGTCTAGAAATGAAATTAAATATATACCTGAAAACTGAGTAAAGAACAGACTAAAATGAAACAACTTGCCTGTCTAAGGCACTCTTTCTTGGTATATATACAAAATTTCAATATGAGAAAATAGAATACCACACCTGAAAGGCATTGCAAAGTCTTTATTTCCTCTGAAAACTTACAATGTGCAAATTATAAATTACCATATGTTCATGCTTTTCAAAATTTATGTAAGTTAACAAATTATCTAATACCAATAGCATCAAATAACTGATTTGCAAGAAAATTGTTATAATTCCTGTGTTAAATGACTGCTACTAATTAGCAATTATATCTCAATAAAGTCTTTCAGAACTCATTAGGATTTTGGATAAAGGTAAGCCAATACAGAAGACTATGTCTTTGACAGAAATTAGTAATTATCGATAATCAAGCTAATAATCATGGATATTATTGAAGACAAAGGGCTGCCAACTTCAGAAACTATCATTGCTCTAGAATTTACTAATTGATGTGGCTATTTTACTATAGAAAAATATATAATTGACCTTTATTATAAACAAATATTTTTTCCTTGAGCAGGCATATAAACTAGAAAAAATGCAGACATAACATAGGATTAGTTATTAGTTCCCTTATCAATCACTAAACTGAATATTATAGTGTTTGATTAATAAGAAGCATGCAAAACTCATTTTAAACACCTGAATCAAAAATTTTTAATAATAGCAACTTGCAAAATTTTAAATTAGGTACTGAAAATTTTTGCAGTATGTACAATATATCAATTTATTCCTATGAATTCTGGTTTGAGGTATTAAAAAAGATTTTTCTTTGATTTAAAACTATGAAAGCAAATACTTGTAATTAAGATAACTGAAGAGAAAGCTCTTAGCATAGTTTCTATTACATTCAGAGGCAACAGGAAATAGCTACAATTCTCTAACAATGTTTTTAGCAGTTGTGTAGTATTTTAATCATCACTGATCATATTCAGGAGCTCTTAAGCATTTCAACAGTATGTAATAAACAACGAGGGATGCTTTGATGTTGTTGAATGGATAAGACAGAGTATAATATGGGCTGGGCCATGACAGCACAAAATAGCTCCTATATTGTTCTATATATAGACAGCTGCAGTAAGGCTTACCAGAATTTTTCTAGGTATTATTCTGAGCCTACTCTGATTGTCTGTTTACATAAATACACATGCTGCACTCGAGGCCTTCATTCTAAGACTATTACAAAGTCTGTGTTTATTGGTGCAATTTACTGAGTTACACTGAGATTCAATACTGCCAACTAATTGAACCTTTTATATTGCTGGTACAGAAAGGTAGGATCAATACCCATATTTGTATAGATAGGTTCTAGGCATTTAGTGCATGCCCTAGTTGGGCTTCAGAAAAATGTGATTCGACTTAAGATGTGAATCCTTATAACAAATTAGGTTATAACGTGATTCTACTGTCCCTGATTTGTGTGATAATATAAAAGAGGAAGACAGGTGAGTTCTAAGGAGACTGGGAAGGGACTATACACAGGGTAATAGGGGCAGGAGCAGCCAGAGAGGCTGGCAAGTTTTCTGTCTGGATTCAGCTCTGTGCAAAAGTTGAAAGGGTGAAGCAAGAGCTACATTCCTTGGCTATGTCTATGTCTAGTAAAGCTGTGACTAATCACAGTTGGGTCCTTTAAGACCTTTCTAGGAAACCTGGTAAAGTTAGAGATCATCTGCAGATGTGTGTAAGAACTATGTGCTTTCTGCTGAAGTGATGGCTCCTGATAGGCAATACAATACAAGCCAGATCTGGAGACAGGAAAATGAGTTTGTTTATTCATATAGACAGCTCTGAGATCAACTATTGCTCAAGAAAAAGTAGACCATCAAAATTTGACATTGGAAAAATTTAAATATAGGCACTGTCACTATTGTCACTAGATTTGCTGCCTATGTCAAGCATTTGTATTTTTATGTGGAGGATGTATCAGACTTCATCAACTGGCACACTCTGCTCAGTTCTTGATGATTTCATATTGAGAAAATGATGTTGAAGAATTTTTAACATTGTCTTTAGTATTGTTTCAAAAATCACAATTCCATGGGTTGTTATGTTTAATGGCTTACAAAGAGGACATTACATACTAATTTAAGAAATAAACCATTTCAAAGGCTTATTGCAATAAAATAACAGTTTCTTGCTTTGTAAGAAGTTGACAGCAAGCAATTATTTGCTGCATGAAGGTTTTTTATATTCATTTCCATGAATATTATGAATGGGAAAATACTAAATCAACTTTTTCCAAAAAACATATATTCGAAAGATGGTTACATTCGTTTTTGTAATCATTCTCATTGAATAGACATTTTATTACTATTTCCACTTTACATCTGGAGAAAGTGAGGATCAGGAGTTAAAAAATTTGGCTAAACATCATGTGCCTAGCACATCTAGGACTAGGGTTAGGTCTGCAGAACATTACAAAATGTAAGTGCACCACTTACTTGACGGGGTAGAAACATCAATTCTCGTATCCAAATGTTCCCTTCCACTCTTTCATTTCTTTGTTATTGAGTTTTCCCAGTGTATAAGTGATTCACATACAAAACACAGTAAGTATTTAAAAGCACTAATGAGTAATGAATTCATGATTCATAAAACTGTTTAAAAATCTTAATATTAGCATTTTCAATTTTTTTTGGCCTGTCCTGGGGCTTGAACTCAGGACCAGGGTGATGTCCCTGAGCCTCTTTGTGCTCAAGGCTAGCTCTATACCATTTGAGCCACAGCACCACTTCTTGCTTTTTCTGAGTAGTTGACAGGAGTCTCATGGACTTTTCTGTCAAGGCTAGCTTTAAACTGAAGTCCTCAGATCTCAGCCTCTTGAGTAGCTAGGATTACAGGTGTGAGCCACCAACTCCCAGCTCATTTTCCATTCTTAACACAGAAAATAAGACATTTATTCCAAATGCAGGCTACTCTGTGTACCATATTTTTGTACCATATTTTAGTTTGATGTATGCTATTATCTCTTATGTCATGATTCTCATACTCCTGAAGAAAATAATTTAAACAATCAAAAGGAATATGAGAATTAATTCTAAACAAGTGATTTTTTCCTACAAAGATTCAAAATATTAAATAAAAGTAGTCCTAACACTACAAAATTATCAACAATGCATAGGATCACTTTCATATCCATAACAATATTCCTGGGAATTCATCCATTTACAATGTTTATCTGCCAATTTCCTAGGTTTGGTATTTGAAAACAGGCAAATCAATGTGCTTTACAAGTATTTCATGTTCCTGGAATGTTCTCTTTAAAGAAAATTCCCCTCTGGAGTTCTCTGAGTTGTTTCTTGTACTTCTATATGTCAATTGGCTTTTGCTTTTGAACATTAAAAAAACCACTCCTTGTAGCAAGAAAACTCTGAGGCCAGGAAAAAGTTCCAAAGCGGGGAATGGAGTTTGGTGTATATACTTTATTCACAGGGTTCCTCTGGGTTTCCCAGGTTTGTATTTTCAACAGGAATCTCTGAGCTGACCTCTGCCGTGGCACTGGATTCAGAAGCTTCTGGCTGTAAACTGTCTCCATCAAGAATAATGTCTTCAGGATTTGGTGGAGGAGGACAGAAGTCTTCATTGGGACAGATTTGCTGAAAAAGTGTTTCAGCCTGGCCAATGATAAACAGAAGAACTTTTGAACATAAGCTTACCAAACACAAAAATTCTGGTACTATCTACAAAAAATTGGCATTCTTAACATTTCTTTAACTGGATTCTAATAATTCACAAGTACCAATGACCTACTAAAATTGGTTTTTCACAATCCTGTGACTTTTGTACCTCTAATTATATACACGCAGTCATGTCTGCTCTTCAAAGATGGTACACCTTGATCAGATACATTATTGATAATGTAGGTATGTTCATATTATATATCAACAGAGAAATATAATATCTCAATATTTTTACATATAATTTCCTTATACAATATTTTCATACCTATGGTATTCTTTGTGTATAATAATCTTTATACACTGAATAGATTGAAAAGGCTGCTATGTCATTTGGTAATTATGTGGTTTGGAGAATGCTCAGGCTTTACTCTTTATCCTGGGAACTCACCATAGGTCCTTGTTAGAGATACTTAACCTCTAATAGAAGCTGCAGGACTTAGGTCAAAGCTTTCATGTGACCCTTCATTTCCTCTAATGACTTTTTTAGGGGTCACATGTCTATCTCGTCTGCCTGTCAAAGTTCTTCTTTGTCTTTATATCCTAAGTGCAAACAATTGTCAAATCCTGGCAATGTTACTTTCTGTTTCTTATTTTTTGTCTTTTTTTTTTTTTTTGGTACTGGGGATGGAACCCAGGATGTAACACTTGCTAGGCAAGTGCTTTGCACTGAGCTATATCCCAATCCATCTTCTATTTCAACAGAGCCCAAGTAGAGTATCATCGATTACGGTTACAACTATAAGTGTTGCTAAATTCATGAATGTTCTGAGGAGCTTTTGTAAATATTCTTCATTTGTAAATAGTCTTCTTTTGTAAATATTCTACATGTAAGAAACAAATAACCAAGTGGTGAAGGAGCTAACCATAGGGTGATAAACTGGCATTAGAATTTCACTCATCTAAATAAACTAGACATAAATATCATCAATATGCTATGAAATAGAAATTATAATACTTTTCCCCAAACTGATATGAGTGTCAAAGATATGCAACAAATTTTAAACAACTAACGTTTAATAGCACATAATAATTAGTTCAAAACTAGCATTACACTGTTTTTGACTTTGATAACACTTTACCACTGAACATTAACTTCATGGAAAGAAAATTATTTTGTGATAAAAATCCTCCCTTAATTATAATCTTCTGACGTGTAGTTTTGACCACATTAGCACTTGAGTTACAACTTCTTATTTTAAAAGCTTTCCATTTTAGTTTTAAAAAATAAAATTGATTCCCAGATAAATGAACCTAAGTTAGTTAGCTAAAAAGTTGCAATTTCTTCTTGGAAAAAGTGGGGCTATCAAAGTTAAATTGAAGTTACCAGTGAAAGCCACAAATGGAAATCTTGGGCCATCTTGTGTTCCTATAATAGTAACAGAACTCATCATAGAAGAATGATATGACTACTTGCTCTTGTTTGCTCTCATTGGCTGAACATGGTTTTCCAAGACTACTACTCCAAAGAAGAAATACAATAATTATGGAAAAAGTTTAGACATCTGGATCATGGTTATCATTCAGAACCTTGTCACTATGATTAAAAATGAAAGGTTGATACAAAGCAACAAAAAAAAAATCACATGGTACCTTATAAATACGTTAGAAACAATAGCAAGAAAGAAAAGAACACTTGGGGTTCATTTCACTTAACATCATTGTTGCTTTGTATGTCCCTCACTGTATTTGATGTTGGTATAATTTGGGGAGGGGCAGGGAACAAACAAAATGTTTAAATAGGGATATAGGTTGGCCCACTGCAACAATGAGATGTACAAGACACTATGTTGAAAAACGAACTTTACAATTTAGGCAGGGGGTGGGGAGTGTAGTTGAGGAGGTGGGAGGGAAGGGATGGTAGGGGACAAACAAAGGAGGAGGCAACAATGCTTGATAAGAAATATACTCATTACCTTGCTTATGTAACTGTAACCCCTCTGTACAGTATTTTCACAATAAAACACTTATTTTAAAAAATGAAAGGTTCAAGATTCCGTTGGCTACTAAAAAATCCCCATGCTCTTGGAGGGAATGAAATCAAGTCCCTGCCATCAGCTGTCTTGATGTTATATTAGCCATTCACGGATTCGATAAACATATGTGATAACACATCTGTATGATAACATATTCGGAATTGTGTCTCAAATAATAAGTTTTGCTTTTTTTCTCTTAAGAAGTATATTTGCATATGCATACGAATCTTCTGTTTAATGGACTCATACTTTATTTTTGGCCTGCACCCCTTCATAATTCTGCCTGGGATCACTTGTCACAAACCTCCACTTGGATTTATCATACTCCTCAGTGGCTGTAAGCACTAGTTTAAGTCAAGACATTAATAACAATAACATTAACAATTAATAATAACACTAATAATTGTGAAAACCTATGTTATTCATTCTTTACTAAGAACAAAAACTGCTAAGATTACTGTAAAATTTGATTGTGTATGTCTTAATAATTACATTTGTCTTGAAATGACTCACACATGTGTCTTGAAATGACTACACATTTCCAAGTAAGACACTCATAGGCCAACTTTCTATTAGAAGCAATACTTCCTCAGAATGTCAGCATTATAAATTTATTTATTTACTTTTGTCAGCCATGGAGCTTGAACTCAGGGCCTGGGTGCTGTCCATGAACTCTTTTTGCTCAAGGCTAGCGCTCCACAACTTTGAGCTACAGCATTTTTCTGGTGGTTAGTTGAAGAATTTCACGTACTTTTCTACCTAGGCTGGCTTTGAACCACAGTCCTCAGATCTCAGCCTCCTGAGTTGGTTAGGTTACATGCATGAGCCACAGGCACCCAGGCTGTACATTTATTTTAATGAACATGTATTTCTATAATTTCTATCCTTATTTCCAAAATGGACCTCATATAATGTTGTCTTGTAGTTCCAAGAAAAAAAAACAAAGTTTAGGGACTAATTAGTGTGAAATGAGACATGTTTTTCTCGTCTCCTTCTCCTCCTCCCACAAGACAGAAAACAACAACAACAACAACAACAACAACACCTCATGATTCTTACCACACATTTTCTTAAAACTGGAAAACACCAAAAGCCTTACCTGTTTGACTGCCTTATCATTTCCTAAACCACAGTCTGGGCCAGAGCAGACATAAACATTGGATGGTAAATCATTATAACAGTTTCTGCTGATGTCTGAAGAGTCTCTCATATTGAAGTAGAGAGCCCAGAGAATTCTTGGTTTTTCAATTTCTTCATGTTCTAATCATAAAAATAAATTTTACTTACATAAAACACATAAAGCTTGTCAATACATTATATAGTCAATAAACAAGAAAGCTATGGAAATTTTAGTAAATTTCAGAGTTTTGTATGTATGTATGTATGTATGTATGTATGTATGTATGTGGAGTTTGCATATATGAGCAATTAGTAAATGTACATCCACAAACTTGAGTATAGGTGTAAAATATTTCCAGCAATGATGGAGTTTTAAAGTTTAAAACAAGTTGAATTTTAAAAATTATTTTGATTAGTAAGTTAATTTGATTTAGTATTCTTGTTCCCTTGGTTTTCTATTATATCTTATTAGCATAAAAAACCCTAAGACACACATCCTTAAATCATCCCTATGATGTGAAATGATAACATCACTTCACTTTTGTGTTACAAATGAAATACCAATTGATAATTATATAGTAAATTAATAGTATACACATATGAGATGTCCAGAGTGAGCAAATCTATGCAGATTAGAATTAGTAGCCTCTTAAGGCTGGAGGAAATTAGGGGCAAATAGAGGATGAGTGATGATAGAAGGTTTCTTTTAAAGGTGATGTAAATGATAGGTATAAGTATTCTTTCCTAGGGATGATGTGACAGAAATATCCTAAAATGCACATATCTGCAAATATATATTTTTAAAAAATAGAATCTTAATTTTCAGGTAAATTATATAGCTTACAAATGATATTTCCCTAAAGGTATTATTAAAAGTGGCTTGCACTGGATTAAATCTCTGATACTTTAAATAATAATCTAATGCTTTGTCATATTGAATCACAACATCAATGGGAAGCAAGAAATAACAACAATGAAATCATGAGAAAATATCATTGTGAACACAGGTTCTTTCATTGAACAGCAAGTCTCTATCGTGCATGGTAGGCACTGGCACAGGAACTGGGAACACAGAAAAGGATATAAGTGTGATTGGATTTTTGGAGTTTTTTTGTTTTGCTCACTACTACAGGCCCTAGCACATAACAAATACTCAGTGACTTCTGAATTGCTTTAAACCAGCTTTCAAGCATAATCAAAGTACAGTATATCTATAAAAAGGTTTAATCTTATTAGCATCAATTCCTAAAGTCTATTTCTTATTATCTTAATAACTATGTCTCTGCCGCAAAGACAAAAAATACTGTTATTCATTGACAATAGGGATTTCTGAATGGATATTTAAACTCTGTATAATGATAATACTAGATGTTTATAAAGATTATACAATTTTAAGAGGCCCTTTGTGAGTGGTAAATAAAATGCTAAAGGTATAATTATCTAGTGAATTAGTTATTGTTAAATTGATCATCAGTGTAGAGGAATTTTCAGCTAATTACAGTATTCAATTAACGAAAATACCCTACTTTCCAATTCAAGATAAATAAGATTAGACTTAATTTAAAATATCCCCAGTGCAAGAATTCCAAAAATGTTACTTTTATAGTTCACTGTATATCCAAAATTATTTCTGTGTGATAAGATAAACTCTAACTAGAAGAAGTGATCTCTTAAGGAGTCCCTATCTAATGCTAAGGTCAAACCTAAGGCATCACTAACTTCAATAGGTACCTATTAACGAAATAAAAGAATGCAAAGCACTGGTATTTCACAGATAAGTCCATATGGCTACTAGAACATTCATGTGAGAGCTTAGTTTCACTTAATTATAGAGAATTTACTTAAGGATATTTCTAGGAAGACTTGCAGAGACAAGAACTACATTATGAAAGGCTTTTTAAAAAATTTTATGTTAGGTGTGTGACTTGAACTCAGGGCCTGGGTGGTGTCTCTGAGCTCTTTTGCTCAAGGCTAGCTCTCACTTTGAGCCACAGCTCAAAGTCTCTGAATGGCTAATTGGAGATAAGAGTCTTATGGAGACTTTTCTGCTCAGGATGGCTTTGAACCATGATCCTCAGAGCTCAACCTCCTGAGTAGCTAGGATAACAGGCATGAGCCACCAGCATCAGCTTGGTTTTGATTTTATAGTACTTAGGATTGAACCCAAGGCCTCTGTATGCTAGGCAAGAACTCCACAACTACAGCTACACTAACAGTCCTTATGTTTTCATTTTGTTTTGCTGCTCTTACCCGAGCTGGCCTTGAACTCCCAGTCCTACTGTCTCAGATTCCTGAGTAACGGGGCCACTGTCTAGCTGGAAGGCCTTTAATATTGTCTAATCCCTATCTAAGTATATTCTATGACAGCTTATACATACTTCATCAAAGTTTCACGTAGAAGGAAGACTTATTCAATAAAAATCAAGGGAAATTAATAAACAAACAGATCATACAAAAGAGATTTCACAGAAGTTGAAGCTTTGACAAGAAATCATGTGGAAAGGTAAATGTTGGTATAGGCTAAAGATAAATATTCTGGATACAAGAGAGCGTTTATATTTTGGTCTTAAAACTTCCAAATATGTTACAATTGCTTCATCTTTCTTTAAGTTCATCTGGAAGTCAGATAGATAGTTGAAGGAACAACAGAGTTGTAAAGTGCACAACTGTCAAAAATATTAGAGCTGTTGAGCTTTAAATAAGTATCTCTTACAAGTTGCCAAGAAATAGCCCATTTCATTTAGTTGGATAGCGTGAAGGACTAAAGAAGTTTGAATACAACCTTGGGAATTAAACAAAATAAGTACTGAATAAAGCAGGTAGAAGAAAAGCAATCATGGCAAACCAAATAGAAGCAAGAAATAGTCTAGAGATGGTTGCCATATATGGAGGGAGTCAACATCCTAGTTAAGTTGTTTTTACCCACTGTCAAAGTAGAGTAGCCCTCACTCAGTCAGAACAAAATACATACAAAAAACCAAAACACCAACCGTGAAATAAGATACTTGTTTTTACAGCCAAACAAGTGCTTAACACCTTATCAGTCACTTATTCAAAGTTTATGCGTAGGGGTGTAAGGGTAATTTGGTTTTGGGAAGTACTGTTATATGACACAGAAATCAATGACATGAAATGGAGTAATTACACCAGCCATGTAGAACAAGAGGGGGAAAATGGGGGAAAAAGATGGTGGAATGATGTCACTACATTTTAGGCATTTCAAGATGGTGCCCAGAAAGTATGGTTCTTGTATTACAATAATACTTTTTGAGTCAGGGCATAGGTGGTTCTGGCTGCTATGTATAAGGGAAGATATAAGATAGAAAATATTTTCAGAACCTTACAATTTCTTGAATAATTTTCACAAAAGTACTGTACTTTAGGGGCTGGGAAGGTGGCTCAGTGGTAGAGCGCTTGCCTTGCATGCCTGAGGCCCTGGGTTCGATTCCTCAGCACCAGATAAACAAAAACAAAAAAGCTGGAAGTGGCGCTGTGGCTCAAGTGGTAGAGTGCTAGCCTTGAGCTGAAGAGCTGAGGGACAGTGCCCAGGCCCAGAGTTCAGGCCCCACGACCGGACCCCCCCCCCCAAAAAAAAGTACTGTAAAAGAAAATATTATCTTTTAAAAAACTATATATTTATTTTTTTAGGTAGTTGTACAAAGGAGTTACCATTCCACATGAACTTCCTTGTAAGGAAGATCAGAATAGATTGATTTGCATAAAGGCTTATTGCACCATAAGGAATCTACAAGATAACAATGCTCGACAAGAAACGTACTCATTACTTTAACTGTTGTAACTGTAACCCCTCTGTACAGCATCTTTACAATAAAATAAAATTGAAAAAAAAAGAAAAGGAAGCCTTGGAACATGTTTTAACATAAAATTTTTGTAATACTCAAGCATAAGGTTTCAGACAGTTGTCAAATAATCAAAACATAATAAAAGCCCCCAATCTGTGGGAAAAAAGGCTTTTGTTAAAGAGAAGAATGCACTTTAATGTATTAAAAGTTCATATTGCTCATAAAGTTCCTTCTTCTCATTTAGGCAGGAAAATGAATTGAGTTCTCTTCTCCAGGTGACTTTGCCTCTTTGACCTGCCATGGCCCAGTGCTCACTTTATCTGGTGATTCATTTTCAATAACTCCAACAGTATTTGTTCTGACATTTTAATTAAAATATGACCACTACCTCATCCTGATGATAAAAAGGCCTATGTGTCAGTGAAAACTAGCTTTTCAGTGCCTCGGTGCACCTGAGGACCCCTCTGAGCACATACTTCTTACTAAAGAATTTCACTCAAGTTCTAAACAATATATCATTTCAAAATGGGATCACTTTAACCATTAAGATCTGTCTTTAAAAATCTTCACTGGCTACAGTATGTTAATGAATGAACATGTACTTTCTCCTGGCTTGATTTCCAAGAAAGAAAATTAAATGCATTATAAAATAATACAAGATGCAAATTTAGTGTATTATCAGAGACCATTACAATGCAATTACAACAAAGCCATCATGAAAAATTTCAGAAATGGCAAAGAAATTCCATTTATATAAAGAATTTATAAATAAAGCCAAGGATAAAGCTATGAATCCATTAGGTTTAGGAATATTATTATGTACAAAACTTGACAATCAAAATTTTAATAACAATCCAAACATCTATATACTATCAAATGAAGAAAATATTTTAAAAATTAAATGCTAAAGTAAAATAATTTTTTAGATTAAAGGACTTGATTCAAAGAGTTCACAAAGAAATGGATTACAATGACATCAGTTCTTGAAAATGGTACCATTTATCTTAGGTGTAAATATAAACTCATCTCTTCATTAAGAAAACAAACAAGACACAGGAAAAAAGCTAAGCAGAAACCTAACAGTTACAAGTAAAAAGAATAGTTGAACAAATATAACTAATTAGAAAGAAATGAAGATATGTATATTAACGGAAGAAAGTGACCAAGATTCAAGTAGGCATGCAAATGCTATAATAATCACTTCCATGTCATATAAATGAAGAAGATCCATCAAATTATTTTGTTGATCACTTATACACAAAATACACGACATTTGCTATTTTCACAGGTGTAAGCACTCCTGTATTTGGTGTGGGAGGTGTTAAAAATTCATATCGAAAAAACATTTTTCCACCATGAATAAGAACTGTGTCTATCTTTGATAGGTAAATGTCACATCATTAGTATCCAATAAGAGATCCTTTCAAATCACAAAGTACCTATATATTGCTAATATTTCAATCTTCCATCAGTTGAACAAATCTTTTTTTAAAGGAAGGTAGCTTTTTGATAAACATATATATATACATATATATATATATATATATATATATATGCGCTCTTATAAAACATCAACAAAAGAGCGTTATAAGGTAAACTGCCCAGCACCATACCAAAATTAATTGAGAAATTTCCTGACAGTCTTGATTTTCTTGTGCATGCATGTATGCATATGATTACTTTTTCACATCTGTTTCTGTGTTTGTGAAGAATATTTACTTTAATATTAGACAGTTAACACTTTCCCCCATGTTTATGTATATACTGTGTTCAACTACTTCAGTAAAATGTGGAAGTTGTTGCTGAATACAACCTATTTCAGTCCAGGTCTGAGCAACTTGAAAGCATTATCTTAGAGAAATATGATAGGTACATTATCTTTCTATCATGAATCACCAATTACTTTTCTTACCTAGCTCCGGTTCTTCATATGGACCAAATAATTTTTGTACAACTGGTTCTAAATCTTCACGTGCTGTTTTAGAAGATGTGCAAGTCAAATGAACCAAATCTGTAAAAAAAATATTTTGACTTCTTGCATATCATAACTCTGTTTTACTCCAATCCAAGGCACAAAGCTTGCATCATGAGTAATAGTGAGTTGAGCAAGTCAGTGTCTTAAAAGGAAACATGTAAAATTTCTCCATTAGGGTATATATTAATTAAATAATGAAAATGTTGCTAATAGCTACAAGAAATCATAATAAAACTGAATAATAAAGACACAAGGATAATTTTCTAAAATAGAGTATAAAAACTCAAGAAAAAATTTATTCACACACACAAAATTCTTAAATAAGACAGAAAAGTAAGAAAATTATTATTTTTTAACGAGACAGCTAGCATCTACAAGGCTTGGGTTTGCTCTCCAGCAATGGGACAGAGAAGGTTCCAACATTCAGGAGCTTGACATAGGAGGATCATGTTACATGGGCTACATAGAGATTTCAAGATGGGTCTGGGCTGTAATAGAACCCTAGCTAACAAAAAAGCCGGGCACTCATGCCTGTAATTCTTGCTACTCAGGAGGCTGAGATCCGAGGATCGTGGTTCAAAGCCAGCATGGGCAGGAAAGTCTGTGAGACTCTGATCTCCAATTAACCACCAGAAAACCAGAAGTGGTGCTGTGTCTTAAGTGGTATGTGCCCAGGCACCGAGTTCAAGCCCCACACAACCACCACCAACAACAAAAAAGGATAAAATTAGAGGATTTACTAACGTACAAGAATCTGTTTATATACACATTGCTGATAAGTTAACAACAAATCTTGGATTCATCACCAAGTTATGTAAAATTTTTTGGGGGGAAACACTCGTGGTTTAGTTTGAATTATATATGAAAGTCTATAAAATGGCACTAGTCAAAATAATCTACAATAGACTTTCTGGAATTCTCAATTGCTTTTCGTTTGCATTAGCAATTTCATGTGGTGGAGGCTTTGGACAATGTTTAGGTTACAGACTATTGAGGAAAAAGGGCTCATTATAGAAATGAAATATAGTCTGGTAAAACTCTTACGGGCCTATGTACAAAGGAAAATGCTTAGTGCATGAGTAAAATTAGGGCTTGTGTAGGGTAGGATAAAATAGAAAGAACACATTACAGAAGAGAGAGGGTTAAGAAATTTCTTCCACTATTGAATTAGTAAAACGGTACTTATTTTCCAAGAGTTTATTTCAGATTAACAAATGTTTTTAACCCTGTGAAGATAATTCAAATTTTAGCATAAAAGCCAACATCACAATAAAATTCTCATTTTCAAAATTCATCCCTTTGATAAAGAAAATGGGCTATACATAATGGAGTTCTTTCTAGCCATAAAAGAAGAAAATTATGTAATTTTCAAGGAAGATGAACTCTTCATGTTAAGTGAAATAAACCATTCTCAGAAAAGCAAAGATTATGTTTTCTCTCATAGGAAAAGAAAAAGAAGCATGAAAGTAAAAGGGAGACTTACTAGGAATGTGCAAAGGAAAAAAATAGAGAGGAATAAAGAAGTAAAGGAATAAGCATAATATAAGATTCATTATATGCATATATGAAAATTATTCATTTCAAATTTAACTACTCTCAATTATCTAAGAATAACTTGGGAGATACTTAGTATGCATGTGAACTAAAATCAAATTTTGTAGTTCCTTCTCCTGGTTCACCAAAGGAAGTGATATCATAGGATGAGTCCTGAATTACTTAGAACCTAATAAAAAAGATAGCTTATTTATTAATTCATTTTACATTAATTATACAATGATTCCCTTTGTGTTTTCTTTGGGGGATACTCTATGATATACAATATTCATTTTTCAAAAGGAAAATGTTGGACAAATATTTTATTCACTAAAATTAATGAGTTAATTAGTGAATTAAAAACAATGAATTTCACAACAAAATTATTCCTAATTAACTTCAAAAAACTTTTTCAAATGCATGTTAACTCTGGTGGAGATGTGGCTTCTACACCCTAAATAACACCAATGTCCACATCAGTCAGTTTTCAATTTACCACTTCTTTCTTATTTAACTGCTGTTTGCTAGGGAAAAGACAAAAGAAAATAAGTATGAATGTGATACTATATTATCAGAGGAGATTGGGTGTATTCAGAGTGGTGTGGCAATAGACAAGATAACATATTTTCAAAAATATTTTGCTGTGCGCACAGGCTACAACAGTCTGCTCCATAAGGGTCTCCCCAAGCAGGAATCCCAGCGGCCTATGCTGCCAGTCCCTGGCTGAAGTCAGAACTGCCCTTTGTCGGCTCCAAAAGACTGTGATACAAACACAACCAGGCAGGAGCTGGGGCAGCTCAGACTGCCAGTCCCTGGCTGATGTCTGGAACTGTAAGTAGGCTCCAGCAACTGGTGGAATACATCCAGCCCAGCAGGTTTTGCCAAGAGCACCCCTGGGAGGGATTCCGAGCAGCTTAGGCTACTGCTCCCTGGCTGAAGTCGGGAACTGCCTGTGGGCTCCAGAAGGCAGCTGAACGAGCCCCACCTGTGTGCCCCTGGTGGAAGACCAAGCTGCACAAGCAACCCATCCCTGACTGAAGTCAGGAACTGTGCACCTACCTCAGCAGTGGGTGGAGTGTGTCTGCCCACCAGAATCTATCAAGCATGAACACTACATGGGTCAGAATAGCAACTGGAGGTTGACCCCTCCCCCACAACAGAACCAAGACTGGGAAAAGTCCCTCTCAACCAGCCCAGGGCTGAGAGCAGGCTTCAAGAACTGACAGAATCAACCCAGAATCAAGCGAAGGCAGTCACATATTAACAAAATAGTCAGAGTTTGGAACGCAATTCTGATAATCCCTGAATCCTCATGTGAAAATCACAGCGCAAAATTACAAGATTCATCAATACGGCAAGACAGCAAATCACCCCCAAAGACTAGTAGCTACCCAGGGAAGAACTCCAGTGAAGAGAAAAAGAAATGGAACACAAATGCTACATCCAAGAGTTGATAGAGGCAATGATCCAAGAATTAAAGTGAAAAATGGATCAGAAATTTAAAGAACAAAGAAAAAAATTATCAAAGGATATCAGGATATCAAAAAAGAGATGCACTCAAAAATAGATGCAGGATATACCTCATTAAAAGGTGAAATTAACACTTTGAGAACCAAAATAGAAATCATAAATGGTTCAATTTCCTCCATGCAAACAATGGAATCCATAGTTAATAGAGTAAGTAAAATGGAAAATAGAATATCAGATACTGAAGTCAACATGCAGCAATTGGAAAAAAAAGTCACAGCTATGGAAAAAACATTCAAAATATACCAAAGGGAATTCCAAGAACAGGCAGACCATGCCAAGAAATTTAACCTTTGTATAATTGGGGTGGATGAAGATGAGGAATACCAGAATAAAGGAATACAACACTTATTCAATAAGATTATTGCTGAAAATTTCCCCAATCTTAAAGGATAAAAATCTCAGCTACATAAAGCAGCATACAGAACACTTAGCAAACAGGATCCCTGGAGGAAGACTTCTAGGCACATCATAGTAAATGCTAGATTTGAGTAACAAAGAAATGATTTTGCATAGGGAGAGAACAAAGAAGGAGCTATACTACAATGGGATCTCTCTCACTGCAGATCTCTCCACACAGACAATGAATGCAAGGAAAGTTTGGAAAAGTACCATCCAAGCCCTGAGAACCAATAACTGCCAACCCAGACTGGTATATCCAGCAAAGTTAACATTCATATTCAATGGAGAAATTAAAATTTTTAATAGCAAAGAAAAACTAAATGAATTCATAAACAATAAGTCAGTACTACAAATAATATTAAGAGGGGGAATGCAATCTGAAGAAAACAATCAAGATTAGGGATCCACATCAGACAGATATCACTAGGAGACCAACTTAGTAAAAACAGAAGGAAAGGAAAGAATAACTTAGCAAAGCAGGAAAATGACAGGAAATGCAAATGAACTCTCTATAATAACCATAAATATTAATGGACTCAATTCACCAATTAAAAGAAAAAGAACTGAAAATTGGATCAGAAAACAAGATCCATCCATTTGTTGTCTTCAAGAGACCCATCTCTCAGCTAAAGATAAAAAGAAACTCCTGTAAGTCTGAGAGTGTTTGCTTAACATGTTTTCATGTTAAGCAAACACTCTCAGACTTACCGGAAAAAAATAGATCCAAGAACAACAATACTAGGAGACTTTAATACTCCACTCTCTCCAAAGGACAGGTCTACCAACCCGAGGATTAGCAAGGAAGGCTCTGAATTAAATGATACCATATCTCAAATGGACTCAATAGACATCGACAGAGTTTTCGACCCAACAATAACCCAGTACACATTCTTCTCAGCAGCCCATGGAACTTTCTCCAAAATAGATCATATCATAGCTCACATGAAGAATTTAAGCAAATACAAGAGTATCGACATAATCTCTTGTGTTCTATCCAACAATAGTTGAATCAAGCTAGTTCTCAATAACAAAGCATAGTGTAGATACCACTCAAATACCCAGAAAAACAGCTCACTTCTGAGTAACACTTGGATCACAGAAAAAATTAAGGAAGAAATTTAAAAGTTCCTACAATTCAACGAAAATGAGTAAACATCACAAAGAAATCTGTGGGACACAGCAAAAGCATTTCTAAGGGACAAATATATTGCTCTCAGTGCACACACCAAGAAAATAGACAGACCAAGTAAATAATCTCATGATGCAACTAAAAATCCTAGAAAATCAAGAAAAAATTGAACCTAATGTTACTAGATGAAGCAAGATAACCAAAACAAGAGCTGAAATTAATGATAGAGACTAAGAAAACTATAAATAAAATTAATTAACAAGCTGTTCTTTTGAAAAAATTAATAAAATTGACAGAGCTCTGGCAAGACTAACTAAAAAAAAGAAGAGAGAAGACCCAAATCAATAAGATCAGGGATGACACAGGGAAAAATTACAACAAACATCCAAGACAACCAAACAATCATAAAGAATTATTTCTAGAATCTATACTCATTAAGGAAATA